CCATAGACCTTCCTTCTCCCTCCAAGAACATGAAAGAACAATTCGTTTTTAGAAAAATAGAGAACCACCATTTCTGAATGTAGCAATTTAAGAATGCCATTGTTCTGTTTTATCAGACACCAATTATAAATTCACTGGTAATTATAATAATTTATCTAAGACAGTCAAATACACAGAAGTAGCATGTATTCACTTTTCCTGTGTGGCCAAATGAAGAATGATTTTTTTTAAAAAAAAAAAATGCAAACCTAGAATTTGTATTTCAAAACACTGTAAACAGCTTCATGAATTTCATCAAAAAGCAGAGTATAACTCTTAAAATAAATAAAATAATGTATTCATTTATACTATTCTCTATTCAGGGTTCAAAATTAGCAAGGCACCAGGCCCATTTTGCGCCAAAAGATTCTCCATTTGCAAGCACCTCAAAAGGTCTGGGTGCCATTTTTTGTGCCTGGCTGACACTCAAGGATTACAGAAATGTATGTGCTTTGAAGCCTTAAAGTATATGTTAAAGATAGACAATATGTTAAGGAGTTTAAGATTAAAGAGTAGAGTGTCTTCGAAACTGAAGTACGGTACTAATATATTTATTGTAAACACCAAATTAAACATGCATTAAAAATTTCTGCTTAAAATGTGATATTAACAATGTGTCACTTGTGTGAATAGCGTATTAGTTCATGCTTATCAAAATAATAAATAAAAAGTGTTGGTGACGGCCCCCCCATGGCGACTAGACATTCTGTTTTGGCACCCACAACCCAGGTCCCAGAAGCTATTTGGCTCCTAGCTTTTATATCCCAGTTTCTAATACTGTCTCTATTTATTCCTCTTTGCAATTTCCATCTTCAGACTTAAGTTGCAAGGCATAAAGAGCAAAATTTGCAAAGGAGGAATATGTTAATGACCAGGTGTACTATAACTCACACCACATACCCTCACAATCTAAAATCTCCTTCCTCCAGATGTACTCTCTAAGGAATTGTAAAACATCTTACTGTTCTCAGCAGACTGCAAGGGCATGCTTAAGAACAAGAGAATTGATTTTGGGGCGGTGGGAGTGTAATTATGATCACTACACAGATGACTACTTGTCAGGATCCAGAACTCTTGACTGAATTTTCAACCAACCTGAAACAGGAAAGTCTTTACTGAGGTATTATTTCACAGTTTTCACACGAATCAATAAGGCTAAATTGTTCTACTTCAACAGCCATTTCTTGCAAGAGGCAGTGAATGTAGGATGCAAACTCTTTGGCTGCACTACACAGGTTGATGTCCATTTTTTTTTAGCACAGCTACATAGCTTAGCAAATGTGCTGTAAAGCATTAGTAGCTTTCACTTACCGGTAAATATAGCATCAAAATGATTTTCATTATGCAGGAGTAAATACTGAAAACTTTCTCTTAGTACTGCTAATAGTCTTGGTTTTATTACACTTTCTGGGCCTGGTATGTTAAAAACAGCAAATAAGCAATGCTTAAAATATTTCTCTCTCATGTGCCAGTGGGGTTTAGCTTAAAATGAGAGATTGCAGTACTTGCTTGGTCATAAAGCCCTGGCTTTTAACCAAGTTGTTATATCCAAGCCGAACCTACTTAGGTTATTGTGAGGCCAAGCCATGGCTGAGTCAGGATTTTAACTTAGGTCATCTTAATCAAAGTCTACCACTACTCACTACACCAGCTCTTGGATCCACATAATGCTTATTTTCACATTCCATGCAGCAGAGGCCAAATTCATATTCACAGCAGAATGAAATAGATGCAGTCAAGCAATGAAATTGTGAGACTTCAATGCATTGTCTTCAGCTAAGCAACTTTACCATGGTACCCAATACAGAAGCAGAAATCACATTAACGTGAAACCTGAAAAGAATCTTACTCTTCAACACAATGCCTATTTTTCTAACATTTTGTTCCATTTCCTCCAAAAACGTAATAATGTATATTAGTCATCATAGCCCACATTTCAAAGGAATATGATGAATCAGGTTACTAACATTTAGAATTTGTAAAGCTTTTAACTTAAAAATTAAAAAGGTAAAAGGTAAAGGACCCCTGACAGTTAAGTCCAGTTGCAGACGACTCTGGGGTTGTGACGCTCATATGGCTTTACAGGCCGAGGGAGCAGGTATTTGTCCGCAGAGTTTTTCTGGGTCATTTGGCCAGCATGACTAAGCCGCTTCCGTCGCAACGGAACATGGAAACCAGAGCAGCACATGGAAACGCTGTTTACCTTCCCGCCGGAGCGGTACCTATTTATCTACTTGCACTTTGTGGCGTGTTTTCGAACTGCTAGGTTGGTAGGAGCTGGGACACAGCAACGGGAGCTCACCCCGTCGCAGGGATTCGATCCACCGACCTTCTGATCAACAAGCCCAAGAGGCTCAGTGGTTTAGACCACTGTGCCACCTGCGTCCCACTTAAAAATTTGTTTAAATTAAATAAAGTTTTTGTATTTCATTGGTAAGAAAGGCAAGAAAATTATGAACATAATTCATGCCTGAAATATTCAAAATACCAATATTTATTATTCACCCTGCCAAGACGACAAAAAGCCTGTGAACAAGAGGTAAGTAAAGGCAAGTGACAAGCCAGCTTGACTTATTCTGTCTGCGTCCAACCTCATGTCTTGTCCTTCAAGCACAACATCAAATGACTGTATTCCTAATATTTAGCCAATGTTAATTTATTTGGTAGAGCAATTTAATAAAAGCTGGAACAGTGGGCTTTTTACATTGTCCCCCAATGCCTTCCTCAGTCACCCTTGCATCTAAATATATTCTTACAGTGCATTCATTTTTACTTCTCAGCAGCTGCTGTGGAGGTCTGATAGACAGAAAGGCCGGGTGTAAATATTTCTAAATTATTTAAATAAATACGACTTTTGTCAGGTTCCTACAAAATTATGTACTGCTATTCTGTTATATATAAGACTTTACAGAAGGATTAGGGTCTTCCTGTGTTATTACATTTGCCTGCTGTATTTCAGAATTGGGGGGTGCCAGTCACCCCCACCCCAGCTTGGTGTTGTCATTGCTACATGCTGCTACATGCCAGGTCTATCTAGAATAAAACATCTATCACCCATTTGATGTTGGTGCAGGGGCAGAGTTGATATGTACAACTGAGACCCGGATGGATGGGCTGGGTGGCCCTATGTTAGTCCAGCTGTGTCATAAAATTCCATCTCGCTCACCAGGAAACCAATCCACATCATGTTTGGGTTGAAGAAAATGTTTCTGGTGCAGGACCAGGGAGGGAGGGAAAGAGAATGGGTGTGTTGCTATTGTACCATCCACCTCATTGCTCTACAACCTCCCTGACCAAGGTAATTTCAGATGTGGTGCTGGAGGACTCCTTCATGGTGGTGTTGGGGAGCGTCAATATTTATGCCGAGGCTGAATGAACTAGCTCAGCACTTCATTACCTCCATGGCAAACACGGGGCTGTCTCAGAACATCAATGGTCCAGCATAGAACTGGGAACACCTTTCACCTGGTCTTTGCCCAAGAGAGGACTGGTAATACTCGATTGATAGAAGGGCTTGCTGTGAGTCTGTTGTCATGGACAGACCAATCCCTGGTGAGGTTTGGGCTGTATGTAGGTACTCTACCCTGAAAAGTGCAAGAGACCCATTGAGTTGGTCCACGTTTGGAGACTGATGGAATCTGATTTCTGAATGCTTTGGGGGATTTTCAAGCTGGCATGGCTGATGCTCCTGTCAAGGCTCTTGGCTCACTGCGGGATGGTGAGATGTGTAGAGTAACTGACACAATCACTCCTGCTTGCCTTCACTATACACCCATTGATGCCCTCCTTCCCCACAGACCCCCTTGGGTGTTAAAATCAACAGAGGAGGCTCCATTGCTCCACAGTGCTCAGAAACTCGGGGGGGGGGGTGGCCCAGGAGACAGCATGTTCTATGGCATTGCTGAAGTTGTGGAACATTTCCACAGAGGTGTGCCTGCATCTTCATTATACAGCTTTCAGCAAATGCTGAAGACATATCTATTTACCCTAGCTTTTCACACTTGAAATGTGCATTTTTGGAACCATTTTATTTATGTGATTGTCCATCCTGGGACCTTAGGGTGAAGGGCAGTAACTAATAAGAGTAATAATAACAACAACAACTGTGGACTACATGCCATACAAAGGTCAAACATACCATAATCTAAATCCACCTAGTTTTTCAACTGAAACGTCCCAGACGAAGCCAATATAATCCAATGTAACCCAATGCCAAGGTAACAAAATCTTTACTTTTAAATAAAATGAACATAAGAACTGATTCTGAGAACCATTACTATTGATTTTTAAGACGTCTAAGTCTTCTCAGACCCTGTAATTCCAAACCAAGAGTTCAGACCAAACGGTGACATACAGAACTCTACAGGATAGCTCAGTTACTCTGTTGTAGCAAAAGAATCCTGTGGTACCTTAAAACAGATTACTGTGGTATAAGATCTCATAGATTGCAGCCTGCTTTACCTTCAGCTGGCAGGTGTAGTATGTACATATGTGTGCACCCATCCAAATAAATAAATAATGAAACTAGAGTACCGTGAACTGCGTAAGGTAAAATATATCTATGCAGACTCAAGGTATACAAGGTAAAACCAGAGCAAGCTTTTTAAACAGTACTAACTCATGACAAAACAATCTTTTTAGATATTTGACACCAGCAAATCTAGAAGAGGGAAATGGGAGTTTAAATATGGCAAGGGAATAACTGAAGACTAGGCAGGATCATATACAATCATAAACCAAGTTACACTCCATTTACAACGTTAGAACAGCTGTGCCATCAAAAAAAAATAAATGCCTCTCTATGAGCAGAACAGAGCAGACAAATTTAGAAGGGTGTGGGAAGAGATAAAAGAGTGCTGCCCATTATGCGATAGAGCTTCGGGGCGGGGGGGGGGGGCAGAGAGACTCATATCAGGGAAAGCCTCAAGAGGGCAATCTCTGCTCCTTTGTGCATCACTTACCTTAAGGATATCCCCCCGTTTGAAGCTGAGCTCATCGTCTGCGGTGGCTTTGAAATCGTATTTGGCGACGGCTTCCATGCTCGTGGACAGCAATGATGATGAAGGCGGATAGGAACGGAGTTCTCCCTGAAGCTTCTCCGGGGGCTCCCGGTCCAGCCTTCCCTCTCGTCCGCGCTGCCCTTCCTGCTCAACTTCTGGCTCCGTCTTTCGCATAGGCAGGGGGAGTCAGCGAGGGCCAATCCGCCCTAGGAAGGGAGGAAGAGACGGGAGCATTGAGGGAAGTAGCCCGGATCAATGACAGGGGCCGCGCCCTGAGCCTCCCTCTCCCTCCTCTTCTCAGCTCAACTCCGCTTTGCCGCTTCCTCTTTCTGCAGCCTCGCTCGCTCGGCACACCGAGGGCTGCCAGGAAGCACCGAGTGGCATTCGCTGCGGCCAATAGCAGAGCCCGGAAAAAGGACTCCCCGCCCCGCACTCCCAGCCGGCGAAGCAAATTAAATAATTAAAAAAGCGCAAGTGGGGGAGGGAGAGAGAGAGAGAGAAAAAAGACCGGCCCCCTCACGCCCCCTAGCCAAGCCAAGCCAGCCTTCCTCAGAGCCCTAGAGCGGCTCCTGCTGCTTGCTGCTGAGCGCTCGTCCTGTTCCTTGAAGGCGAGGCGTGCATCACACAAAGCCTGGCTTCTATGCCTTACCGCAGGCAGCACGGAGGACGGCGCTCCTCCTTGCAAGGAGCAAGCGCCTATTACTCGAAAAAATCCGACAACCCCCCACCCCCCCGAAGTCGAAGATCAGGAGGATTCCCCTATCCGATTACTTACGAGGAGAAACGTGTAAGTCACCCAGTGGGTTTCCCCTGTTCGGGAGGAACTCCCAAGTACTGGTCAACTACCCACTTGGTTTTGCAGTGAGGGTTAAAACACACACACACACACACACACACGACACTTCCTATGGTATTATTCATGGTTGGTTTTCCCCCGATTTCTTTTGGAATGTAGCGTTCCATGAATACTTAAGTTCCCTCCCTCCACCCGAATTTTAAAACCTATTTCCGAGTAAACTTAGCGTCGGGCTGAAACTTTTATTAACTAGTAAAATACGAGTCGAAAGGGTTCAGGAAAGTTTCATCTACAATGAGGGGAAGATACGGTAATCTGTCCCTATCTCGCTATCAGCTATATCGTGCCCCTGCTGGCTGTTGAAAGAGAAAATAGTTTTTGCTTCTGATTTCACAGCAGAGTCGCAAGTCATTCATCCTTATATACTAAGCTTTGGAGAAACAGAACTGCTGTGTAGGAAACACTCTTTAAACAGGCGCATATTCTATAAAAGTAATGACTGATTAAAGCCAGTGCAGCCCAATTCTTTCCATGTTTGCTCTGAACAAAGGCACACTACTTTCAGCTGAATATGAACACTAGTTTCTTGATGTCAAGTGTCCTTAAATGAAAAAAACCCCAAGTGATCACTAAGTGTGCTCCTGCTAAAGAATACCATGAAGAAGCCACACTACTTCTTCCAATAATTAAAGCAGTATTGTTTCCCCCCCCAATAGTTACACATTCATATTTAGCAATGAATCCAACTGCATTAACATTTGACTCTTGCCCAACTAAACTAAAACCAAACAAGGCAACCAAAAGAAACAATAATCCCCTGAATCATGACATTCCAATACAATACACATATAGACTCTCAAAATCATGTATTTCTTAAAACACATATTAAGTGCCATCTCACACATGCTGGGTTGGATCCAGACTTAGTAATATTTAGTGTATACCCACTGAAATAAATTGAACTTAGTAATTGATTTAACATGATGATTTCAATGGATGATTAAGTCTGGATCTAACCCACACCAAACTATAATACCAGTCACATTTATTTATTTGTAAGCAAGCCCCATGAATTTTCTTGAAAAAGCATGCTTGGGATTATAACCCAAGCCTCATTTATTTCAATAAATCTTAAATGAATGCATGAATCACCAGCACTGTTTATACACACACCAGATAGGAAAAGGATATGAAAAAGAACCACCTTGTTTTGCAAACCTCCAACACTGAATTGGAGTTTAAAACCTATACAATCCATGCAAGCACATTCTTACAGGAAAATCATTTGCAACTCTTCTATATTACCAGTTGTCTACAAATCCATGCACCAGATTGCAGGGGAAGGTGCCCTCAACCCTCTGGTGAGCAGTAAATCTGACACCAGTCCACACAGATTCCTACTCTGGAGGACTAATTTCCAATGCAGTTTTCAAGCAAGAAACAGCAGAAATACCTTATAATGAACTGAAGATACTCTCACTGCTTGTTACCTTCTCTGTATCCTCTATAAATGAAAGAAGACCCCCACCACTTTCCCAGTCCCTCAGTGCAAGGCAGAGGATACTAGGGATGAGACCACTGGTAAATGCAAATAAATGTCTGGGCAGAAAGCCAAGCCAAAATTTGTGCCCCCCATAAATGAAAAAAAGCAAAGACCCTTGAAAGTCACCTGTCCACAAATCTTGTCTGGCCTGCGCAGCCATATATTATATGTGGTGGTCACTGATCTCCCTCTCCAACTTCTTATTGTACACTTATTCCCTCTGAATGTCTCCAAAACTTACTGTGAAATGAAATTCTGACTCCTTTCCTCCACCTCCACCAGTTAATCTATGCATGACAAATAACTTGAAAGGAGGGAAATCTCACTCTTAATTTCAGAGGGGGAATCTCACTCTTAATTTCAGATGGACATTACAATTAACACTGCATACAGTATTTAACATTAACACTGCACCCAACAGGACAACTATTACAGCAATACTAGAAAAACCAAACTATGAGTGTGGCTATTGTGGCAACTTTAAATACATGACAGAAATTCACAAAGTTGCTGCAGCAAGTAAAGTCACACTTGTATTCACACCTGTCACTCTTTGGTTTTATTCACTTAGGACTGAAATGATGACATTTTAAAATAACAAGAACTGATTAAGACACCACAAGAACAATATATGTTACAAAAATTAACAGATCACCTCATAAAATTTTGCTCAAGTATTTCATTAATGCAAAGCTGGGAAAGCCACTATACTCTGTATATTAAAATTGGGGAATGAAGAGGACATTATCCTGAAATACCTCCTCCCCAAAATGGTCTTAGTTATTAGCCACTCCCTTGGAACAAGTAATTTTTTATAAAGCTAACTTCCCATTCATAAGCCAGCATCACTTCATATATAGATGGGTAGTAAATGTATTTATTTAGAGGTGGAAGGGGCTAGATGAAATGTAGAGCCACAGTAGTACTGGGGCAAGCATAACCCCTTCTCCATCCCTAAAAAGGTAAAGGGACATGCCCACAGGGATCATAGAATAGTACAGCCCCCAAAGTTACTAGCCTGATTTTTTTTTGTTCCCCTACTTTTAACTCATACAAGGGGATGGTGCAGAATGGACGTAGCACTTTCTATTTCTTTTCCCAGCCCCTCATATGGCAAATAAAAATTGTTTGCAGGGTAGAAATGTAGCAGGCTGAATGAAAGAGGAAGAAAAGCCACCTCTGCTGGCTGGCCTTGTTTCTATGCTTAAGTGTGCTGGAAGATGCTTTGCCTCTTCTGTGGTCAGCCCAGAAGCATAGTGAACTAGCTGTGAAGAGATGGCCCCGTTGCCAGTCTGCTTGATTTTTGTGCTGAATGAACAGGACAGGCATCCCTTCTCCACCAGCCTGCTGTGTTTCTGCACTAGATGTGCAGGAGGTGAAGTCCCATCCAGTTCATCTACCTTAAAACCAAGCTTTGAAGTCAAGTTTTTAAATTATGGAATTTGTTTTCTCTTTTAATTATGTAACTTGTTCTTAATGTCAGTCTTTACTGGTATTTTTAATTAATATTTTAGATTGTCTTTTGTAAACTGCTTAGAAGTATTTAGTTTGAGTAAGTGGTATATAAATTTTGTTAAATAAAAATATATGAATAAGCAAATTGGGTGGTTGCCACCATCACACTTCATTTCTGTACTTGAGACACAGGAGGCAAAACTTCTGCCTGTGTGTCCAAAACGCGGTGGTTGGGAAGACAAATTGTTCTGCTACCAACCCATTATGTTAGATGCACAGGAGGTTCACCTGCCCATTGCCAACTGCAGAAACCCAGCAGGCTGGCAGCATAGGAAAAGGATGCTCCTTCCCTCCACCACCCACCTTATTTGCTTCCATGTTACAAGTGTAGGAGGTAACTTCATCTCCTACACACCTAATATTGCAAAACAGTGGGTTGCTGGAGGAAGGATGAAGTGCTTCACGGCTTCATCGGCAGCTTGTTTGAAAGGGAGGAGGAAAGACCTTCTGGTAGTCTGCTCAGTTGCCTAAATGAAATTCCTAAATGGTTACAGTGACCAGGCAAGTGGTTAAATATGGGGTTAGTAGGTAAAGGTAAAGGGACCCCTGACCATTAGGTCCAGTCGTGACCGACTCTGGGGTTGTGGCGCTCATCTCGCTTTATTGGCCAAAGGAGCCAGCGTACAGCTTCTGGGTCATGTGGCCAGCATGACTAAGCTGCTTCTGGCGAACCAGAGAGGCGCACGGAAACGCTGTTTACCTTCCTGCCGGAGCGGTACCTATTTATCTACTTGCACTTTGACGTGCTTTTGAACTGCTAGGTTGGCAGGAGCAGGGACCGAGCAACGGGAGCTCACCCCATGGGGGGGAGGATTCAAACCGCAGACCTTCTGATCGGCAAGTCCTAGGCTCTGTGGTTCACAGTGCCACCCGCGTCCTGGGGTTAGTAGAGCACCCTCATATTAATAACATGTTTGTCCCACACAGGCTTCAGATGCTAAAAGTGACAGCTGTCGTGATTTATCAAATAATTGCCAGTTTTGTTTCACAGAAGAAGCTGGCTCTGTATTCATTTTCAGCATTTGTATGCATGGAGCACTCTGAACAGTTGAAAAATTACTTATACTGCTAATACTATCTACCATATCCTAGAAACTGCTACAGAGAGAACTGGTCTCAAGAGGTGGTAAAGTCAATCAGCTTTTTCTAAGGAACCAGCCTGTCATCATTACTATTTGGGGAAGTTCTGTGAAATCTTCAGCAGCAAAAACTATGGTTCATTTCCTCCTTGTGCCAGTAACAGAATATATATATTTAGTCATAGTTAGTGAATAACTATCTGTTCTCTTTCACACTATCAGACATCTGCAAAACATATGCACGGGCAATAATGTCAAATCAGAATTTGCTAGTAATATCTGTGGATTTAAATGCATGGCACCATTTTATTTCTTTTTGCCCAAAAGCTGTTTCCCAACATAACACAGCAATCCTAATGCACACCTGTTCGGGAAAACAGGTCGGGCTTCAGGAATCAGAATCCCATTTAAGTCAATGCTTACACTTATCACTCTAAAGATAAGCTTAAGCATTTATTGCAACTTCCGTTTTTGTATAAGGTGCACGTTATTAACATCATCCGCAGCAAAAAACCAACACAAGAAACAATGAATTCAGCAAAATGCCCCCTTTCGGATGCCCACTCCTCAAAATAGAGTCATTGACTGGGGAGGGGAACCTTGGCCCCCTTGGCAAGTGAATCATTACTGGGCTAAGGGGGGGAAGGATTCATTCGCCCGCCTCCCTCAGCTCGAGTTATTTTCTTAGAATCTTAAGGGGCGCGCACCAAACTCTTCCCCCCCCCTGCAAGTGGTAGGCTGGCAAGAATGCGCGCCAGGGCCCCCTTGACAGGCAGGGGCGGAACAAGAGGGGAAAGGGGCCGCCCGCCCGCCTTGTCAGCCTCAAGGCAGAGGCTCCAGGGCGGCTCCGGTGTCTTGTTGGGGCTCTTCCCTGTCTCTCCCTCCGCCCTCGCCCCGGAGCTCCAACTCACCGCAAGCCCGCCAGGGTTCCGCTCCGAGCGGCCCCCTCTTCTTCCCCCCTGCGAAGCCTTCTTCCTCCTCAGTAGGAGTGTCCGGGAGAGCTTCCGCTACTGCCCTCACGAGCCGCTCTCGCGAGGCTACTACTACTACGCGCGAGGGAACGAGAAGTAACCCCCGCCGAAAGAAAAAGCGCAAGCGCCAACCTCCGTAACAGGGCGAACCAGAGGCTCAGGAAGAGGCTGAGGGGCGGGAGACGCTGGGAGGAGCCAATGATCCGCCCAGGGCGCATGCGCGCGTAGTGGTATAGATGCCGGACGCGCCCCGGCCGAGCCTCCAAAGTGTTAGTGCGCTCGGGCTGCTACGGCTGATCAGAAATTGAGTGTATCAGCATCACCTCGCAGGGTAGCGGCCACATAGGGTTGCAACATTACAGTTTCATTTGTCTGTTTGGCGCCTGTCCTGGGAGAAAACTGGACGAGCGTTATTTATGAATCTGCCTTATAGGAAATATTATTATTATTAGTCGTCATCTTGGCGACTTGCGGGGGGGGGAAGAATACACATTTTAAAAATCAAGTCAAACCACATAATAATAATAATAATAATAATAATAATAATAATAATAATAATAATAATAATAATAATAATTTGTCATCTTGGCTTGCAGGGGGGGGAAAGAGTGCACATTTTAAAAATTGAGTCAAACCACCAATGATGATTATTATACCCACCAGGCATAATATATCAACAAAAGTAGACATTACGGTATAGGGCACCAAAGATAACCAACTCATCATGTTCCACTAAAAGCCAGGGGAAGATGGAGGTACTAACTTGCCATTGGAAATAATGTTTAATGTTGGTGCAAGGTGGGCCTTGCTGAGGAGGATATTCCATTTGGCAGCACACTGCAACTGAAAAGGTTATCTCCTTTGTTACCACCCTCCAAACAAGCACTTTAATCCATTTAGCTTAGCATTATCTCTACTAGATACTGACATGCATCAGTTCTCCAGGCTTCAGGCTGGAATCTTTCCCAGCCCTTCCTGGGGAGTGAACCTGGGACCTTCTGCAAGTGCAGCATATGCTCTTCTATTGAGTTGTAGCCCTTCCCTGTTTTGGGGTCTTGTTTCCTTCCCACCTGTCTCTTCCACTGTCCTTGCTTTCAGCAATCTAAAGAAAGCCTGGGTATAACACTGAATACAAGGTTCTCTTGGAGTGATTCAGGGCTAAATTGGATCTTGTCCACTTGCTAAATCATTGTTCAATTAGAAAAATATATGTGTGTTCCTTCCAGAGTGAGATTATAGGCAGAACAAGTTCTAAAGCTATAACAATGAGTGGAACTGGCCAGTGAAGTTTGCCTATCACATGCTCTTTAACTGAAAAAAAAATGTCATCATGGTCATTATGGACTATGGAATACCAACACAATCTCAAAATGGCTAAGTCATTTCACTTGAATCAGTCCTATTTCACTTGAATGTTTACTTCCACTTAATGGGTACAACAAATAAGTATTCTGCCATTTCCAGGACAAGGCAATTCAACTTTACTCAGAATAGCATGATCAACATTACACACACAAACACACACACACAGAGGAAGAGGGAGAGAGTGCCGGGCTCCTGAGCAAATACTGTACATTATGGTCAGAAATAAGCAGTCTTTTTTTCCTGAAATGGCAATTCAAGAATGGGAAATATTCCATTTACAAGGGCCACATTGCCCTGTGTGTCACTGAACTCCTGGAAGATATGAACACAGGTTGGTTATTTCCCACCTAAACTTGGAAGCATAATTGGGCGTAGTGTGAAAGGGAGCTGCCAGGGTGGCAGTGAGGGCTGGGCTGGCATGGTGGGCTCCCTGGTGTGCACGCGTCCCCACACGCCTCGAGCACCAGCAAACCACGCTACGCTGCTGAGCATAGCAAGTAGAAAGCAGTCACAGTCAAACTCTTCCTTTGATGTGCAGGATGGCTGTCCAGAATAATTTATAGAAAGCGCTACAATCTCAACAAGCTTTAATTGCCCCTTTGAAATCATATGCTGGTCTGTGACATGAGGGCAATGCTCCCCATTTATTTCTAAATAGAATCAAATGAGTTCTGCTATTCTCCTTTAGGTGTCACTGAAGTCAGTGAAAATGCCTTACAAAAGCCAAATAAATGGTAAATTAAGGATACAGCCCTAAACACACTAGGTTGTAAGTCCCATTGAACACAATGGGACTTACTTCCAAGTAAACATTACTGGGTTGCACAGACTATTTTAAAAATTGTGAGCCTGACACTTACTCATAAGTAATTTACATTCATTTCCATTAAGATGACTCATAAGTTGCAGAAATACAAACAATAGACTATAAAGTACAGGGGGAGATGGGGAGGACTCACACCTTCTATATGACATGGTATACTTTTATTGGCTTTGTTAAGACAATTGAATATTGTTTTCACCTTCCATTGACTCATAGAACCTTATGGAGAGACACTTTCAACTGATTGCCTTTCTCGGAACATCTAAAATTACAGCCATCAGCAGCTATTTTTATTTCTTTTATGTGCAACTACTAAGCTCTGTTTTCCTTCTATGGGTATGATTTGTTACTTTAAATTTAAAAATCAGTTTTTTAAAAGTAGAACTGCCGGCTATAGCATTGAACAACCCATGCACCAGCTCCTTGGATATAAACCCAAAGAAAGGATTAGGAGTCTTATGGTACCCTAAAAGCTAACAAATGTATTATGCCACAAGCTTCTGCGGACTAGAATCTGCTTCATCAGACACATGCAGAGTTCAGGTATATATATTCACATGGTATGAGATTGGAGAATTAAAAACAGTGAGGTCAGAAGAAAATGATATGTAGGAAAGTACTGACAAGGATAATTAACCATGGTAATTCACAAAACAGCTACTGAAAACACAGACAGCCTTGCATCAGTCAGGCAATTAACACAAATAACATGCTAAGAATCCTTTGTCTCTCTTCAGTCCACAAATGATAGTGTTCAATCTCTTGCTGTATTTCAAGGATGTAGTGCTTACTCAGGTGAGGTAAGCAGAAGAGCCAGTGTGGTGGTGTGCTTAGACTAGGACCTAGGAGACCAGGGTTCAGTTCCCCAGTTGGCCATGAAGCTCACTGGGTGACCTTGAGCCAGTCACTGCCACTGCCTCTCAACCTAACCTACCTCACAGGGTTGTTGTGTGGGGTTTAAATGAGGTAGGGGAGAATTGTGTGTGCCGCCTTGAGGTCTTTGGAGAAAAAGCTGGGATACAGATGATAATAATAGGTTTCCTTTTGAAGGAGTTACCTTACAATATTTTTGTAATATTTAATTTAATTTATATAGATATAGGTTGAGCATAGGAGGAAATACAGCTTGAACCCGCCAGGCAGCAGCCAAAAAGACCTTGCTTCCCACGTCACTTCCATAGTGAGAGGCAGCCCTAAAATGTTAGTCTACACAGAGTTCAAACTCAGCTTTCTGTGTCAGTCTTTGTTTGTTTTGTCTTAAACAGCATTTTTCATGTCTCTTTTCATATACAGACACCTAGATTACATCATCCTTGGGAAGGGGGGGGAGTCATTTTGCCCTATGTAGAAGATGTAATGGAAATTGCCTGACAATTAGTTCCCATGGAAACATATCACCTGTAATTTCTCTGATAGAAGAGGTACCTGGCAACTTTGCCACAATCAAAGAACACTTGCAGTAGTATCAGCCCCATTACCCTTTCCTGTTCAAACCCCCAGTCTCATAACTTCAACTTGTTATATACTGTAGTAAATCTGTGATACGAAATGTTTAGGTATAGTAAATATTAGGATTTATTTATAACTTGTATGTTATAACTGAGATGTGTTATAAGACAGTCCCAGTGCGTCTTAAAAGGGGAGTTATGCAAGGCGTTTTAGGTGTTTAATTAGTGTTTATGTGTAAAGACTGAGTGTCAGACTTCGAGAATGTAATCAAGATCCATGTGAATTGGAAAGTGTGTACCTGCTTCTTAGTACAGTGGTACCTCGGGATGCGAACGGGATCCGTTCTGGAGCCCCATTCGCATCCTGAATAGAATGTTGTGATAGGAATTTTGAGGTCTTTGATATATGTTAAATGTTCATAAGTGTACCAACCAAGCACATACATAGATCAGCACAGGAAGACTGACCTGAAACCATTTTGATTCCCAACTGAGCAAATGTTTTCTCTGCAAGGTCAAAGGAAAATGGAAAAGCCTCCCCATTGTCTTTTCCTTCACAAATCCTGTCTTAAGGGCACATTTAAGATATGAATAGGGTGTGAGCCTGTGACCTGGCCCAGGAACTAAGTATTTATCATTACAAAAGACTGGCCAGGCTCCCCAGGCAATCCAATCAAGTAAGCAGGGTATCCAATCAAGTAACCTGCCAGACAGGAGATAAACAAGGACAGGAGAAAAACAACATTCAAATTTCTGTTGTAGACCGCCTTTTCTGTGATGTAGGTATGATGTATCTGGCGGGGGGGGTGTCTTGAGCTATACCCCTTCTGTGATGTATGTATGATGTTTCTGGGGGTGGTCTTGATCTACAGGGTGGCAATTTCAAAAGTCTATATAAGGCCTTGCATGCCATTGTTCTGGGTTCCTCCTCCCTCCTTTGTGTGGTGAGTGAGGACCCTGTTGCAAAAGATCAATAAAGATCAGGCTTACTAGCTGCTTTGCTTCTCAATATTCTCTGGTTGGCTTCTGTTATTTTCTCCTACCAATAGGGAACCTGTGTAAGGACTCTATATGGGCTCTTGGATACCCCATAAGGGAAAAGGGCAGATTTTGTTTATAACAATGCAAGACGCGATGGTGCGTCTGCATGTGCCGCGTTTTGTCACTTCCACGCATGCTCGTGACGTCATTTTGAGTGTCTGCGCATGCGTGAGCGGTGAAACCCGGAAGTAAGCGCTCCGTTACTTCCGGGTTGCCGTGGAGCGCAACCCAAAAGCACTCAACCTGAAGCACATTCAACCCAAGGTGTGACTGTATCAGCAATTAGCATGTGAAGAGTAAATTTACCTATGTAAATGTCCTAGGTGTGTACCAGCCTTTAATCCTGCTCAGTCAACATGTGTTGATCAACTCAGGCGAACTCCTTTGTT